GACAGACCTTAGGAGTTCTGATGCAGGCTAACACATATACAAGAGTCCATGTGACACTTCCGGTCTTTCAATTGAATGCGGGCGCACCATGCGGCGAATACGTGTTTTTTCCTCGGGAATATGCGTGATTTTTTTTTGGTCTTTTCCGTGGGGACTGTTTAAATTGGTTTGTTTTCGTTTTCATTTTCGGTTTGATATATTGAATTTTATTATTAAAGGCACCTGGCGCGCGTCACATTTTTAGCTGTCCGTCATTAACCACCGAAGATTCAATAAGCTACAATCATCTGTTTACATTTACAAATACAATTGCATAAAAGCTTAAATAAAGGGCATAAGTTTTTGTGTAAAGTAAAAGTCATAAGTTAATAAGAAGATAAGCAGCTTAAGTTGTAAATGGCAAATTCTATTCACAATATAAAATGAATTTAATTTAATATCCTCGGGTTTAAGTAGAGTGTAAAGCACCGACGGCTTCAACTTATGTAGATATTTATATTTCTAATGATTACAGCTTTTGCGTCCCTACTTTGCTGCAAACAGCGCAACATATTCAAAATGCCAGAATTGCTTACTAATTTTCTAAGTATTTGTGTATTTACTTATATATTTAAGGCGCATTTATCATCACACATCGTTGACTTCAATTTGACTAATTGCAACAACGTCTCTTCCAATATTCCTGCAACTCAATTGCAAATTTGTTTATTTGCAATATCATCAAATTACGAACATTTTATCAAGTATTTACATATGTGAGATAAATATTAATTTGCACAATTGATTTAGTACATAAATGAACTTTGTTAATTGTATCATTATTAGCAGTAATAGAAGGGGACTAACTAATAGGTACTCAAAAAGATTGAATAGCCGAAAAAATTAAAAATGGCTGGAAGATAACTAGACAAGTATGAATGTTGCTGTCGAGGCTAATTAAATAATTTGCGGTGAATCTCAAGAATTACGAACTATATTAACTATATCAACTGGAACTTACGCATTAAGTTTTAGTTTCTCGTTGTAGAACGTAGAATATTTAGTTTATATATAAAGTTGGTATAGCATATCATTTTTGTTAAATCGTTAGAACGAGTCTTCAGTAACGTAACTAGCGAATATTGGGACACTACACTAGCATATATTTGAAAGCACGAGCATATATTCTAGACTTTCAGTAATATTTAAATCAATTACATCAATAGATACTGTCTACAGTATATACATTTTGATACTATTTTTATATGTGTAGAATTTTCATACTGAGAAAGTTCTGTCGGCAGCTCTGTTCAAATAAAATTAGTATGTTTGGTTATATACCAAATTAAGTTCACTTTTTGCTCTTTATTTTCAAATCTGGAAGAAAGCTTATGTATTCCCTTTGAGCCGTTGAACGAAATTCTTATTGTTTTTGCTACCCTTGTTGTCAAAAAGCAGTGCTATATATAACCTGGAAAGATTTTGCTTTTAAGGTTAACGCTCAACGTGTTCGCATTGTGATTGTGTTTTTTCTTGCGTGCATTTCTTAAGTGTTCTAAAAAGTTTTTGGCCCGTCGACCGGCAAAGCATTTCGCACGCTGCTGCACACAGTAGAACCGGCCACAACATGGCCTCCATTTTTTTGCCGCAACCAACACAAAAGGGTTTTCAATTGTAGTCCTGCGCAGGAAATGTCATGTTATGCCGGTCACCGAAAAACAATACCACAAACTGATAATAGAAATGCGAAACCGCAGCCAGAGGTACATACTAAATAATAAGATTAAAGGTGGAGCACCTAAGGTTTTCAACGCACTGCATTCTGGATATAATCTTCAACATGTTGACCTCAGCAAAGCTGAAAAAAGAATAACATTTAACAACTACTGCAACTTGTTGACAGAATGTCCAAGAAAACAATAAGACAGATGACCAGAACTTTTACTCCCAACTTGCTATGGCTAGTACTTATTTTCATTTGCAATTTAACTTCTTTCTCAACTTTGTTTTACATCAGTTTCAGTTTCTTTAAAAGTCAAGTTTAACTAATCGAATTAAGAGCTAAACTAGTTATTTTAACCGTGTAGCCGTGAAAACTTCTTACCGACTTAAGCCATGATGTAACAAAGACTAAGCCAATCGATTTCATTACAAAATTTCAATTCATATCTAATAAACTCACGCTTAAAAATAAAATAACCAAAAGTTCATAAATTCAAAAACGTAAACTGTAATTTATAAATTCAGGTTTTCTATTTTTTATTCAAAAAATAATATAAAAATAATATAATAAAATCACACACAAACATAATATTTTTGTTGCCCTCAGTGCATCGAAATGCAATATTAAATTTCATTATGATTTCCCCCTGTATAGCATGCGTAATGTACTATGCCAGTCCCAATTCATTTCAAGAGGCTTTAAATTATGTATTTATACCACGCACAACTTGAACGCTCGTTGTAGCTTCACTTGTCCAGAAGCTGTATATAAAATTAATTTTGAACCAAGCCAAATGGAAATTGCGGCGAATACTTTGAAATTGCATTACTTTTTATTGATATGAGCAATTTATTTGCTTAACATGTGAGAGAGGGAACGCACACCAGTAATTGGAATTGCATTACCCTCAATAGCACACGACTAAGGAATAATAAAGCATTTAAAAAATTTCAAATTTCATTTAGCAATTGAGTTGAGCTAAAATGTTTCCTTTAAAGAGATAAGCTATGGCTTTACCAGGACTTTAAAGTTGATAATTTTTAAGACTCTAGCGTGAAAGTTGTTCTTAATAGTTTTTAATAATATTTGAATATATAATACTTATATATAATACTAATACTAATATAATACTAATAATAATAATATAATACTAATACTTATTGCATTATTTAATTTGTAGTTATCAAATCTCTTAGTTACAATTATTCATAATTTTTCATTTTAATGCTTAATGTTGTCTTCATTTTTATCAGTCAAAAACGCACATTTTTGGAGCCGTTAAATTCAAATCTGGGACTCCTATCAAATATCTTGGAGTCAATCTTGATACGGGCTTTACTTTAAGGTCAGCTAAAACCATAAGCTGTAATATGTTGTTATAAAGTATTGGATGATAAGAAGTTAGACTAGACTTATGTTTCGTGACATAGAATTTTAAGCGTAAATAAACTACTTTAAGGGCTGATGATCTCAAGCAAGATTTAGCTTCACAAAAAGTACCAGCAAACAAAATGATTTGTCAATTTGTCATTTAATCCGAATTGACTGTTATTAACAAGCACTAAATACCTGCACCCTTTGTAACTCAGGGAAAATATTTAAGTAATGTAAATATGATAATTAGCAGCATGGTCTGCTTTTGAAGATACCGAAATTGCCATTAAGACCCACACTTGAATTAAGTTATAGCATCGTAGAGTCTGAGCGAGTAGGTTTATACTACTTTTAGCCGTTGGCCTATTACAACATTTATATAAATATATTTAATATAGCCATCAGGTGTAAATTTAACCCACGCTTAAAAGCCAAACCGCAATGACTGTGCGTTGCTACCAACGATTATACAAAGTGGGAAAACAAGCGAAACAGACACAAAAACATAATTTACATGCCATAATAAGCGAACACACACATATACAATTAAATTGAGCTCTTTTGGGCCGCCCTAATATGATGGTAAATATATTAAAATGCTCGAGTCGAGACCGTGTGTGTGGCCAGCAGGGATTCCTGTTAATAGGTGACAGCTGAGTAAATTTAAGGCTGGCTTTTATGCACTTGTTATATTTTAATAATACTCCGAAATCATAGAAAAAGGGTATAATGTTTTGTCCGTATGTATGTAACAGGCAGAAGAAGATGCAGATCGGCAGACGAATCGACAAAAGAACTGGAGACATAAAATCTTATGACCATATCAAATTAACCATTTACTTTTAGGATATCCATTCAAATCAATAACAAGTTACAGGGGATTGAAAAGTCATATAATTTGTTATTTCGTATTAAATGGTATCTCATAGCTAGTCGCTGCCGATTAAGTCAATTGCTTTTTTGTTGGGTTTGCTTTTGGTGTTTTTTCTCGCACATAAATTTGGTACAAGAGTCTCATAAATTATGCCCGTTCGGAGTTATGAGTGGCAAACGTTAACGCGACAGAGGCATAAATTTATAATGAGATAAGTAACCCAGAAAATGCGTGCCAGGATAATGGCCACTGGATTATGGCCTGTACTTCTTCTGCTGTTGTTGCTGTTGTTGTTTGTTTGCCTTGAAGCTGGTAAATCAACATAAATTTTTATTTAATAACAAAAGCACAAAAAGGATCCCGATGGCGTAGTTGATGCAGAGCCAACAATTTGATAAACAATGCATTGCCACTGGCTAAGCGCAAAAGTAATTATGCCTCCGTGCATTAAACGTCTGCAAATGCCCAAACGTAATTGAGCAATTAGTAAACACGTGTTCTTGCCGATATCAAAACAAACATACCCGCTGGCGGAAAATAGATGCAGAGTCTTTAAAGATTATGAAAACTATGGCCTAGATTAAAGTAAAGTTTACACAACGATGTATTTAAATTTGTGAAATGTCTTGGGCTTAAAGAAGAAAGTAAATAAATAACTATATGAAATATATTTTGCTTATCTCCTTAGCTTATGAAAATAAACATTATTATTGCAGCTATTTATAAATTTTAAAATGTTTTCAATGTAATATAATAAATAAATAAACATAAACATATAAGTAAATTATATTTGACAATGTTCATTTTATATGCGCAACAGTTAAACATAATTAACTTGTTGAAAGAGAAAGAGAAAATAGTAATCTATCTAGGGTAAGTGAATGAGTGAGTTCTAGAAATAAAATAATAATAATAATATTCAATGTACAAAAATAATAGTAAAATGCGCGCAAATCATTTGCTGTTGCCTAAAGATAGCTAATCTAAAAATATGTTTTCTTTAAATGAAAATTAAATGTATGAATAACTTTTCCTTAAATTTCATTAGCATTAACATTTTGTTGAATTTACATGTTTTCTATTGTTAAATATTTTCAATAATTAATTTTAATAACTCTTGGTTTGTATCTTCAACAAAATTTCTAAGTTAGTTAAGAGACCTTCTCTATGAAGAGCACCCATAGCTGGAGAAATGCGCCCACGTACCAAAGTGGCAACTGGTATTGGGACAAGAAGAGCGACAGTTTGCATTTCGAGGCCCACAATGATTTGAAAGATGAGATGGATCGATATATTGAGACAAATGGCTATAAGTTTCTGCGGACAATTACCACAGCGGAGGAGGTGATCTTTCATCAGAACTTTGCTCGTCCGGAGACATCATACGATTACGAGACAATTGTAAGCATAGATGTTCGAAATCTGGTCCTGTTTTTAATGCCCAAAGAGTTTCTGACAAAGAAGTTTATCGAGTTTATGCATACTACAGAAGTAAGCAGATTACTAAATAGCCTAATTATGTACTTTGCATATTTTCTACGTTTGGTGGAGCTCATATTGATCCGCAGGGATGAGCTCAATGGCAACATGGGCATTATTCAGAGCGAGCAAACGGTCGAAACGAGACGAATGTTCTCGATCCATTTGAGTCAATATCGCATGCTGGTGGGCCGTAACTACAGCGTGATCCTCATGGACGAGGGCAAGGTAGATCACTCGAACAAGTGCGGTAGCATAACAATAAGCGATAACTTGATTCAGGAACAATTTCTAGCAGTAGCCACGCAGATAGTGTGGATATCAATGCATAGGATGGCATACGACGTGATCGAGATGGAGATGAATCGATTATTTCGCTCAGAGCATTTTATTATAAATAAACCGGGATATTTAAAGTTCACGGCAGCGGAAAAAAGCTTGCTTTATGGGCGCCGGAATAAGATTGTTAACTGTCTCGCACAAGTCTCGCCACTGATACAGGAGCTGGAGCATGTACCTAATGAGGATCTGCCCATCCTGTGGATAGGTGAGCGCAAATATTGTGGAACGGATATACGCATTGCCACACTTGAGTTGGAGTATATTGTGCCCAATCAACAACTGCATCTGATTGACGTCAGTCGTGGTATTATGGGACATCCAAAAAGATTCTACGACACACTTCTCAACCTAAACTGGTCAGCGGTCCGCGAGGAACACTACTCACTTGAGAATGATCCGTATCACATATTGCGACAACCCCATCTGCAACTGCCAAACATTAACGAGCCGACAATACGAATAATGTCCAAGCACTGTGAACATTTCCTCAAGCTTCATCGTATGAACGAATCCATAAGTCGGAAAATGCTCTCCAAGTGGCTCCGCCGTGAGAGCATCATCAGCTCCGCCAACGGAATGGTCGGGGTTGACATCTATAATCGCTGTAAAAATGATTTAGCGGACAGCTCTTATGGCCCACCAATAAGAGAAATTATCAGCAATTATTTCAAAGTCGTTACCAAGCTTCGAAAGGAATGATGCGAGCAATGAGATCTTGACACTCGGCTCAGTTGCCCGTCAAGTGCAACAATCTGAAGCCGAACAGGTCTCATGCGCTGCAAGGTTATAGCTGGTAGATTGATGTGATATATACAATATGAGGGAAGTCGGAAAAAAAAAACTGATTTAGCTCAGTCTGTCTGTTTTTTGTAGTTTCTGGTATGGCACTCGCAGATCAAGTTTACTTGAAATAATCGATAACCATTTCCGTCTTAATGTTATCGATACAAAACATCGAAAATCAGGCTATAATGTGTTTTCAAAAATGCACGTAACAGGCAGCAGGACGCGTGCCATAGCCCATGAAGTAGAAATATTCTTGATCAGGGCAACAAATTGAGTCGATCTAATAATGTCCGTCAGCGATCTCGTAAGGCACAAAAGCTATCGACTATATTATTTTACAATATAGAAATTTGAAATGTGTACTTTTGTATACCATACGCAGCCCAAGCATATCTTTTTTTCGTAAGTTAACCCATTTGCTTCTTATCGATAAAAATCAATATTCGTTTTTTCAGCGTATCGAGAGTACCACATTTACTGTACCCCACAGTGGCTTTGTGTATTTGGATTTTAGATACTTGATCTCTTGCCCTCAGAAAACGCACTTCCATACAGGCTTACAGGCTTACAGGCTTACAGGCTTTTGATTTGGCAAATATACACATATGTCATTATCACGTTCTGACCATTTTAACAAAAGTCATTATCCGGAAGAAAAATTATTCAACAACTAAGTGTCCTTAGCATGTGCATGTGTGAACATGTGTTGTTGGCAATGTGTGCATACCATCATCGTAGAATGATTTGAATACCATCTCCTCGCAGAGTTCAGGGTATTTTTTATTTTGAATTCATTTTGTTTGCAAATCAAATAACCAAATTCAATACGTTTATACTAAATTTTCTAAGCTTATTATAGATATGCTAACAATTAATGCAGTTTAACAGACTGTTTCTATTCTGTAGCTATGATAATTGATAGCTGTCGATGATAGCTGTTCTCTGTATAAAATATCTTCAACTATTCAACACAAAAATTTAGTCTTTAAGTCGGAAATAAAAAGCATTCTTTTCAAATTGAGTGGACGAGCGAATTACACATAAGCTGTAAACATTATAGAGATTTTGTTTGTCAGCTATTTGCAAGAGCTGCTTTGCTCGATATACGCTGACTGCTGCTCAAAATAAATGAAAAATCTGCTGCACAGAATTTAAATGTAATGTAAATGCAATATGCAACAGCATTCAATTCTTTCGAGTGGCTCTCGTCTTCTGGCATGCGAGTCGAATATTTGCGTTGCAGTCCCACAATGTGGGACTCATCCGTTAGACAAAGCATAACAAAAATATCTCCCAAAACACAAATATTTAAAGCCAACGGGAAATGTTTTTCAATATTTAAATTAAACAAGTTAAGCGGGCAATGGTCGCAAATACAGTTTCAAACGTTTACGGTCAACAAATTTTCTCTTTATGCCGCTATAAAATCCAACTTTTTATCTCCAAAGTTGTGCGTACTACGGGTACACTACGAAATTTTAAAACGATTTGACAATTAAACAAACCAAACATTGTCAAAAATTAAAAAAAAAAAACAAGTAAGAGTATTTTAGTTGAAAATGACCGACAAGGAAATACTCTAAGCCCTGCTAAGAGCTGATATTCTAATCGTTCAACGATTCTTTTCTACATTCATGCCAACAACACATGCACACATACATTCAGCGACACTTATCGGTCAAACCTTGACACATAGCCAACTGACCCCATCGACAATCGAGAAGTAACTTTGAGAAATAGATTGAATATCGAGGAAACCAGGAGGATCGTTCTCTCTGATTCCATAAAATAAATGTTCTCTGCGAAATGTAAATAATAACACTGACGCGATCAACGCGAACAATGTTGTTTTCGGATCAACGTATATTCCTTTAAAGTGATGTTGAAGACTATTCGGACGAGAGAGACCAGATCAACCAGCGCAGATCCTGGAATCGGTGACCCTTCACAGAGTCTTTTCTGAGTCTTCGCAAAGAAAGCTTTAATCGACCTCCTGCAAAGTCCCGAAACGACAGAGATGGAACCTTCGGAGTTTCTCGCCCATATGAAGCGTATGGAACCCGCCCTTGAAGCAAGGCGGTAATTCTGTGGAGTCTATGGAGAAGACTTAGTTAAAACGTTAAATAATATACTGTGTTGTGGTGTGTTGTCTTCTAAGATACCAAGCGCCAACCAATTCAACGAAACTGACAGTTCACAGCAGAAATTGAAAAGCGGTTTAAAGAAAATCCAAAGCCTATCCGCACTTTGGCACACATAGCAAACGGCGCCATTCAGCGTTGCGAAAATAGACTCGGACATCCTAAGACAGGATTGCCTGTTCGCACAGAATACCGAAACCAACCTATTCAAGTCTGCCATTTTTTATAATTTAAATAAAACGTGGTGTAAAGTGAATAAAGGAAGTGAGAACAAGTGCAGTTGAGGAGTCTGATTAGTTTTGTGAACCTAAACAAATAGTATGTTACTGTTTTAGAATCGAGTTCTATTTTGATACCCTATTTAACATTGTAGTATAGTCTTCAGTCGGCCAATGTGTTAACACAGCTTCTACATGAAACCATTTTGAATAGGGCAACACTACAATGGCAGCAACCTAAGCTACCACCCCAACATCAAACATGAAACACCTTTACACCTATAGATCATAGTCAATACTTTGTTTTGGACTACACTCTCGCCATGAGACACACAAGAGTGACATTAGACTCACCGGACAAAAATATCTTCGCATAGTTATGTCACTCCTTCAAAAGTATGTATTCACCATCAATCCAAGCAAATGCTAACTCGGCTACACGAAAGTAACTTTCTATAATTAAATCATAGATGAACATAGAGTTCGCCCACCGGTGAAGCTGGTAACACCATGAAGGAGATTTTGTTGCTAAAGACGGTTGGCACTGCAACCACTTGATGTTTATTCTCATGAATTGGCCCAGGCCAAAATAAAATATAACCGAGGACTACTAGCCATTTAGGTAGCTACCCGTTATCAAAGCGGATGTTTGCATTCACACAGAAAGCCGAGAAAGCATCACCACTCCAATGCCGTCATCTGGACCATTTCTCGTAGTTCCCCGCCAACATCCTGATGGTCTCTTTAGCTCAAATGCAATTTTAATGGTGCTAAAGGCTTTGTAGGTAGTGGGTTCTAAGCTTTAATGTAACATCGCCACGGCATACCAACCTCTGCTTTCTGTTACTGTTTGACGATGATCGCTGATTTACATGATGGCCTAATGGCAGTGCCATTAAAATCGATATTGGCGGAGTCTGTTTCCGCTGCATTTTAGTCTTAGAGTTTGAGTAAGCTTTGCTCTGGACCATTCTGAAGATTAATATCAACATGTGGAAGAATTTGTGCATTAAAAATGGTTAAGGTTCCCAAATGATTTCTACAATGATTTGAACAAGTCTCTTCACCCAGGGTTTTTTCGCGGAAATTTTCGAAAGCACATGCGTTTGATTCGCCCACTTCAACGTCTTCCCGATTAGATCACTGGAAAGAGGTAGCTGTGACAGCAACCAGCGCCACCTAGCGGTCAAAAGCTTGCTATCGCCTTCTGCGATAACAATCGCCATGAAGTGGATGGCATGCTTCGTTTATGCTTTCAAATCAAAATTTAGACATTTGATCAGTTTTAACACATTATTACACACGTAACACAATACCTAACAAACACAGAACACAAAAAAAAATTAAAAAAAAAATAATAATATAAAAAAAATCAATAAAATAATATAAATAAAAAAATATAATATAATATAATAAAAAAATAACAATAATAAAATAAGAGAAATAATATATAATATAATATTAACTTGAAAAGGTATGAAGCGTGTTTATGACGATACTTATGTGCCGAAATATCTCAGTGGGAAATGGTCGTGGGACAAAAAGCTCGACCGTCTCCACTTTGAGCCTCATCGCGACTTGGTCGATAAGAAGGAGCGCTATATGGAGACAAATGGATATAAATTCTTGCTGACGATTAACCAGGAAGAGGAGGTGATATTTCGGCAGGAATTTATGCGTGGTGACAACACTTTCGATACGGACACAGTGGTAATCAACGATGTACGTGATCTGGTGCTCTTTTTGATGCCCGGCGATTTTCTGACTGCCAAGTTCATCGAGTTTATTCACAAACCCGCTGTGCATAGATTATTGCATGCTTTGATCATCTACTTCGAATACTTTTTGCGAATGGTTGAATTCGTTCTAATTCGACGAGATGAGCTTGCTGGGAACATGGCCCAGATACAAAGTGAGCAAACGAATGATATGAAGCGCATATTCTCGATCTACTTGAGTCAGTATCGAATGCTAGTGGCTCGCAACTATAGCGCAATTCTGAAGGGCGAAGGGGATATGTCACAGTTCTATCATATGAAGGAGATAGTTAATATATCTTCCACGATCCACGATAAATATTTTCATGAGCAATTCCTGGCCGTTGCGATACAGATCGTATGGATCACCTTGCACAGACGCGCCTACTATGTAATTGAGATGGAAATGAATAGACTATTTCGTTCGGAGCACTTTACGAGCAACCGCGCGGAATATTTGAAATTTACACCATTAGAAGTTAGTCTACTATATGGGCGCAACAATCGCCTTGTCAACTATCGTAGCCAGATATCCCCATTGATTCAGGAGCTTGAGCATGTGCCTGAGGAGGATTTACCTATTTTATGGATAGGTGAGCGCAAGTATCGGGGTACAGACACCCGTATTGTTGAGATTGAACTGGAATATATTGTACCTGGACCGCAGTTGTTTATGATCGATGTGACTCATGGGATATTGGGGCATCCGAAGATATTGTATGATACCCTCTTAAACTTATATTGGCCTGCGGTACGGTTCGCCAACTTTTCAACGGAGTACGATCCGTATCAGATCGTGCGACAGCCGTGTCTAAGGCTGCCCAACATTGATGAGAATAAAATTCGTAAAATGTCCAGCAAATACGATCAATTCTTTAAGGTCTTTCGCATCTATGAGCCGTTCAGCTTTCATATGCTCATGAAGTGGATTAGACGCGATAAACTTATCAAGTATTACCGTACTGGCGGCGTTTTAGAGGACATTTATCTGCGCTGCACAAAGGATCTGAACAACTTACGATATGGCCCCGGAGTGGACACCATTATTAGCAAATACTTCAAGCTTATTGCTAGAACTCGAAAGCACTCCAACGTTCACTATGATAATCGATCAAGCGTAGGTACCATATCTAATTTGAGCATGCAAAAAGAACGGAAAAAGCCATTGCCAGACGATCACTTCTTTGAAGAATAAAATATGAAGCTAATTCAACTAATTCCTTTTATTTAATACCAAAAAATAATAACAAGTATGCTATTCATTTGGTACTAATTTAGATAAGGATTTTGGATTAACAAGGAACATTCTCCTTACAACTAAATATCGGCTCCAAAAATAAAATTGTATCGTGAGTAACAGCATAGAGCTCTGTCGCGCAGACCCCTTGAAGAGAAAGGACTCAAGCTTGTAGATAAAGAGAGCATAAAACAAGAACGTGTGATCTAGTCGAGGCTGCGCAACTAGGAGATACCCTCGTTGCTAAATGCTAACTTTTAATTGATCAATACATGTTTGATCCTCTGGAATGGTGTCCACCGATCTTGACATTATGCATGGATGTACGGATGTATGTGCCGATACATATGGAAGGGGATATGTACGTACATATATATGTATATATGTGGACATATATATGCACTGGCAACGTGCTTATATGCTTAGTGATTTTATGTATTGATTTTTTGTAGTTTCGTAGATGACGCGACTGAAAAGGTAGTTTACATTGTGGCATGCATGTAGTGGTAGATGAGTAGTACTACCCAAACTCAATTGTTGAACAACTTCACCTTATGAAAATAAATCAAATATGCAAAATCTGCATTTATTACAATAAATTGGATGCTTCCAAGCTTTGTGGTATTCACGTTACGATTAAATAAGAAAGCTCTAGTCGGGGTGCCCGACTAGCAGATACCCTGATCCCAGTCCGATCTGCGTTTTTTAATATTTTCCGTGGTTTGTATCGACTATTCAAAAAAAAAAGAAAACAAATAAAAAACGACATTACGAGACCAGGATTCGAACCCGAATTGTTTGCGCAACGTACACCAACTCTACCACCGTGGGGTAAAGTGAATAAAAGAAGTGAGAACAAGTGCAGTTGAGGAGTCTGATTAGTTTTGTGAATCGAGTTCTATTTTGATACCCTATTTAACATTGTAGTATAGTCTTCAGTCGGCCGATGTGTTAACACAGCTTCTACATGAAACCATTTTGAATAGGGCAACACTACAATGGCAGCAACCTAAACTACCATCCCAACATCAAACATGAAACACCTTTACACCTATAGATCATAGTCAATACTTTGTTTTGGACTACACTCTCGCCATGAGACACACAAGAGTGACATTAGACTCACCGGACAAAAATATCTTCGCATAGTTATGTCACTCCTTCAAAAGTATGTATTCACCATCAATCCAAGCAAATGCTAACTCGGCTACACGAAAGTAACTTTCTATAATTAAATCATAGATGAACATAGAGTTCGCCCACCGGTGAAGCTGGTAACACCATGAAGGAGATTTTGTTGCTAAAGACGGTTGGCACTGCAACCACTTGATGTTTATTCTCATGAATTGGCCCAGGCCAAAATAAAATATAACCGAGGACTACTAGCCATTTAGGTAGCTACCCGTTATCAAAGCGGATGTTTGCATTCACACAGAAAGCCGAGAAAGCATCACCACTCCAATGCCGTCATCTGGACCATTTCTCGTAGTTCCCCGCCAACATCCTGATGGTCTCTTTAGCTCAAATGCAATTTTAATGGTGCTAAAGGCTTTGTAGGTAGTGGGTTCTAAGCTTTAACGTAACATCGCCACGGCATACCAACCTCTGCTTTCTGTTACTGTTTGACGATGATCGCTGATTTACATGATGGCCTAATGGCAGTGCCATTAAAATCGATATTGACGGAGTCTGTTTCCGCTGCATTTTAGTCTTAGAGTTTGAGTAAGCTTTGCTCTGGACCATTCTGAAGATTAATATCAACATGTGGAAGATATACAAACACCTGCGGCAGAATTTGTGCATTAAAAATGGTTAAGGTTCCCAAATGATTTCTACAATGATTTGAACAAGTCTCTTCACCCAGGGTTTTTTCGCGGAAATTTTCGAAAGCACATGCGTTTGATTCGCCCACTTCAACGTCTTCCCGATTAGATCACTGGAAAGAGGTAGCTGTGACAGCAACCAGCGCCACCTAGCGGCCAAAAGCTTGCTATCGCCTTCTGCGATAACAATCGCCATGAAGTGGATGGCATGCTTCGTTTATGCTTTCAAATCAAAATTTGGACATTTGATCAGTTTTAACACATTGAACCCATTACACACGTAACACAATACCTAACAACCACAGAATACAAAAAAAATTAAAATAAAAATAATAATATAAAAAAAATCAATAAAATAATATAAATAAAAAAATATAATATAATATAATAAAAAAATAACAATAATAAAATAAGAGAAATAATATATAATATAATATTAACTTGAAAAGGTATGAAGCGTGTTTATGACGATACTTATGTGCCGAAATATCTCAGTGGGAAATGGTCGTGGGACAAAAAGCTCGACCGTCTCCACTTTGAGCCTCATCGCGACTTGGTCGATAAGAAGGAGCGCTATATGGAGACAAATGGATATAAATTCTTGCTGACGATTAACCAGGAAGAGGAGGTGATATTTCGGCAGGAATTTATGCGTGGTGACAACACTTTCGATACGGACACAGTGGTAATCAACGATGTACGTGATCTGGTGCTCTTTTTGATGCCCGGCGATTTTCTGACTGCCAAGTTCATCGAGTTTATTCACAAACCCGCTGTGCATAGATTATTGCATGCTTTGATCATCTACTTCGAATACTTTTTGCGAATGGTTGAATTCGTGCTAATTCGACGAGATGAGCTTGCTGGGAACATGGCCCAGATACAAAGTGAGCAAACGAATGATATGAAGCGCATATTCTCGATCTACTTGAGTCAGTATCGAATGCTAGTGGCTCGCAACTATAGCGCAATTCTGAAGGGCGAAGGGGATATGTCACAGTTCTATCATATGAAGGAGATAGTTAATATATCTTCCACGATCCACGATAAATATTTTCATGAGCAATTCCTGGCCGTTGCGATACAGATCGTATGGATCACCTTGCACAGACGCGCCTACTATGTAATTGAGATGGAAATGAATAGACTATTTCGTTCGGAGCACTTTACGAGCAACCGCGCGGAATATTTGAAATTTACACCATTAGAAGTTAGTCTACTATATGGGCGCAACAATCGCCTTGTCAACTATCGTAGCCAGATATCCCCATTGATTCAGGAGCTTGAGCATGTGCCTGAGGAGGATTTACCTATTTTATGGATAGGTGAGCGCAAGTATCGGGGTACAGACACCCGTATTGTTGAGATTGAACTGGAATATATTGTACCTGGACCGCAGTTGTTTATGATCGATGTGACTCATGGGATATTGGGGCATCCGAAGATATTGTATGATACCCTCTTAAACTTATATTGGCCTGCGGTACGGTTCGCCAACTTTTCAACGGAGTACGATCCGTATCAGATCGTGCGACAGCCGTGTCTAAGGCTGCCCAACATTGATGAGAATAAAATTCGTAAAATGTCCAGCAAATACGATCAATTCTTTAAGGTCTTTCGCATCTATGAGCCGTTCAGCTTTCATATGCTCATGAAGTGGATTAGACGCGATAAACTTATCAAGTATTACCGTACTGGCGGCGTTTTAGAGGACATTTATCTGCGCTGCACAAAGGATCTGAACAACTTACGATATGGCCCCGGAGTGGACACCATTATTAGCAAATACTTCAAGCTTATTGCTAGAACTCGAAAGCACTCCAACGTTCACTATGATAATCGATCAAGCGTAGGTACCATATCTAATTTGAGCATGCAAAAAGAACGGAAAAAGCCATTGCCAGACGATCACTTCTTTGAAGAATAAAATATGAAGCTAATTCAACTAATTTCTTTTATTTAATACCAAAAAATAATAACCAGTGTGCTATTCATTTGGTACTACTTTAGATAAGGATTTTGGATTAACAAGGAACATTCTCCTTACAACTAAATATCGGCTCCAAAAATAAAATTGTATCGTGAGTAACAGCATAGAGCTCTGTCGCGCAGACCCCTTGAAGAGAAAGGACTCAAGCTTGTAGATAAAGAGAGCATAAAACAAGAACGTGTGATCTAGTCGAGGCTGCGCAACTAGGAGATACCCTCGTTGCTAAATGCTAACTTTTAATTGATCAATACATGTTTGATCCTCTGGAATGGTGTCCACCGATCTTGACATTATGCATGGATGTACGGATGTATGTGCCGATACATATGGAAGGGGATATGTACGTACATATATATGTATATATGTGGACATATATATGCACTGGCAACGTGCTTATATGCTTAGTGATTTTATGTATTGATTTTTTGTAGTTTCGTAGATGACGCGACTGAAAAGGTAGTTTACATTGTGGCATGCATGTAGTGGTAGATGAGTAGTACTACCCAAACTCAATTGTTGAACAACTTCACCTTATGAAAATAAATCAAATATGCAAAATCTGCATTTATTACAATAAATTGGATGCTTCCAAGCTTTGTGGTATTCACGTTACGATTAAATAAGAAAGCTCTAGTCGGGGTGCCCGACTAGCAGATACCCTGATCCCAGTCCGATCTGCGTTTTTTAATATTTTCCGTGGTTTGTATCGACTATTCAAAAAAAAAAGAAAACAAATAAAAAACGACATTACGAGACCAGGATTCGAACCCGAATTGTTTGCGCAACGTACACCAACTCTACCACCGTGGTGTAAAGTGAATAAAAGAAGTGAGAACAAGTGCAGTTGAGGAGTCTGATTAGTTTTGTGAATCGAGTTCTATTTTGATACCCTATTTAACATTGTAGTATAGTCTTCAGTCGGCCAATGTGTTAACACAGCTTCTACATGAAACCATTTTGAATAGGGCAACACTACAATGGCAGCAACCTAAGCTACCACCCCAACATCAAACATGAAACACCTTTACACCTATAGATCATAGTCAATACTTTGTTTTGGACTACACTCTCGCCATGAGACACACAAGAGTGACATTAGACTCACCGGACAAAAATATCTTCGCATAGTTATGTCACTCCTTCAAAAGTATGTATTCACCATCAATCCAAGCAAATGCTAACTCGGCTACACGAAAGTAACTTTCTATAATTAAATCATAGATGAACATAGAGTTCGCCCACCGGTGAAGCTGGTAACACCATG